GACTCATAAGACTTATTGTGCGATGGTCTTCACATTTTATAGTGCCTGGTTTCTTAGGCAGAGCTATAAATGTGGATTTTAAAAGGTCATTTGGAATATACCCACTATTATGAATATCGTTTAAAAGTTTAGTTATTATTTCAATTCTAAAATCCCAGTGCTTCAATTTCTTCCAGTGAGATGTTGTCTGGCCCGTGTGCTTTTCCTTTCTTCATATGATGTATTGCATCCTCAACTTCTGCAGTCATTATTGGTGGACCATCATTGTTGGTCTGCAGTTCTACATCTGGTCTATTTTCATCATATAATTCCCTTTATATACTCTGTCCATCTGTTAATTATGTTACTATGTCCCAATAATAAGTCACCATATTTTGATTTTAAACATCCAGTGCTGTTACGTGTCATCTTTCCTGTTAACATATTTATCTTTTGGTACATGGAATGTGAGTCTTTCCTGTTGTTTTCCCCAATCTCTGTACACATTTGATTCAGCCAAGCTTCTTTAGCCACTTTGCATTTGTTCACTATTTCTTTTTGTATTCTAGAGTATTCTTCTTTATCATTCTTTTTCTTCCTTCTTTCATCCACCAACTGCAGAATTTCGGTTGACATCCATTTCTTTTTTGCAACTCTATGGGTTGGTGGGATTGTCTCTTTAGATGTCTGCTGAACTGACTCACGTAATATATCCCACTGTTCATCAATAGTCTGTATAATTTCCATTGCATTATACCGGTTTTGTACAGTGACATTGTACTGGTCCTTAATTTCTTTATCCGTTTTAAGAATTCCTAAATTTAACTTGATGTTCTGTTATATTTTTCTAATGTTCTTTAGTTTTATTCTAATTTTTCCTCCAACTGGAACATGGTCACTAAAGCAGTCTGCTCCTGGTCTAGTTTTTGCTCCAACTAAGCTGCTCCTGAATCTTCTTGAAATCAAAATATAATCAATCTGATTGCGGATATTATCACTAGGACTTTTCCAAGTCCACAATCTTCGAGGATTGTGTTTAAACCAGGTGTTAACTATTATTATGCTGCGTGACTCAGCCCATGCTATTAATCTATCACCTCTCACTTTCTTTTCTCTTAGGCCATAGCCACCCGTTATTCCGTACACTTTTTCCCTTCCTATTTTCGCGTTAAAATCTCCAAGTACCATTGTTACTTCACAATTTTTGCATTGATCAACAGCCATGTCAACTCGTCATAAAATGCGTCAATATCTTCCTCTGAACTATCTGCTGTTGGGGCATAAATCTGCACTCAGTTGATGTCAAACGGTCTGCCGCGAAATTTTACTAATAGTACTCTATCTGATACTGTCCAAAATCCTTTCAGTTTTTGAGTTCTTTTGATCCAAAATAATACCAACTCACTTACTATATTCCTTCCCACCCGAGTAAATAATTCTGTACTGATCTGAATACTTCTCACCTGCTCCTGGCCATCGCATTTCACTAATTCCTAATATGTTGATGTTCATTCTTTTCATTTCCATCTTGATGTTATCCAACTTTCAGTTTTGTACGAGTGTTCTGACATTCCATGTACCAATGTTCATGATGTTTCTACATTTACTTTTTCTACAGTAGCTGGATGACGGTCAGGTATCACCCGTAGAACATGATGCTCCCTACCGGACGAGTTGATTCCACTGGAATCCCCATTCACGTCGTTATCTGAATATGTATTATTTTGAGGCATGATTTTCTTGGGATAGTACAGCGGTGGTTCCCACTGCCTTCCGCCGGTTTGTATATGGTTTGACTCCAATAGCCTTTGTCTAAAGAGACTAACCCTGCAAGGGGGGAGAGGTTATGGCGCCTCTTACCCGCCGATGGCCATGTCGTAGAGTTTTGAGGTATTTCATAAAGTTAGCTGTCCCACCAACTAGCTCGCCTCCTCTCAATGACCATCACCTGTTTTGGTCCACGGCCACTTATTCAATATATTCGTGGGTAACCTCTGTATCTAGAGGCATTTCCACCATCCGCCACCTGGTGGACGCGCCTAGTAGTAGGACAGGCTCCTACCCCAGGAGATTGGCTTATACGTTTGAAAATTCACGTCAAATAGTAAATACTATAAGGTGTCCCACATCTTTTATTAGTATACACTCTACTCCTCCTCATCAGCATCACAATCATAATCAAATGCCTTGCCAAATGGCGTAGGCGACCATTCTTTATCACATCTTGCAATAAGCAACAGCAAGCATTTTAAAAACGTATACCACAACTTTATAAACGTCGAGTGCCTTACCGACTAGCGTGTACGATCATACCACAACCCATTTTGTTCTCCCCCCCCCCCACCCCCCCCCAACCAAATCAACATATATCTTATAAAGTGTATGTTTAATTTGTGGGATGCAATTTTTTTTGTTATTTTAAAGCCCCACACTGACTTTTGCTGAGAGCCCTAAATATAGCCGGCCCATGAAATATGGCTGAACGGCTAAACGGGGTTTTCGGGACCTCTCCAGGGGTCATCCTCCGCATGGTGGCACTCTGTTTCAGCGGGTATTTATCGCTTTGTGAGACATCCTGGTGGGTTACAACTTACATACATATATACATGTTTCATTTCAGAAATGCTTCCACTTGTCTAGGAGTTCCAGATTTTCTCGCTAAATGTGGTCTTTACAAATGGCCATACAGAAACAGCAACCTGATTTGAACAAACACACGCTTGTAATACTAAAGTGTCAAATAGCAAATGACAGTTGCTATTTCTTCTGAGAGTTTAAATTAAGAAAAGTGTCACTTATCCGAAGATAAATACGTTGAAGTTGCTAAAGCTTGTGTTCCAAAGACGCACGGTAATATTGTATTCGCGATATTCTGAAGACGGAAACGGAATTCTTGGCATGCGTAAGCACGCCCCAGATCGATCGCTATACATTTCTTTCAGGCTCACAGCTCCGTTAAAAAAAAAAAAAAACCATTTGCGAAGCAGGAAATTGGCATAGGCAGGTGAAGTGAAAGCTCAAACAAGCAGAGATTAACCATTTGCTATTGCCAACCTTTTTATGTCGTCTTTAAATACTGCTGGGGTTAAGTTATGGTCAGTGTGGAATAACTTCTTGTTTAGATGTTTGGACCGGGTAATGCGATAAAATGCTTTTATTTTTAGATTGGATAAAGTAAATGAGTGATTGAATGTTCGATCAGACAAAGCAAAGCATTACTTAGACGTTTAGACTGGGGCTGCTGTAATCCATTGCTTACATGATATACTGCACAAATCTTTGGATTGAGTTAAACGATTCGCTTCTTAGATCTTTTGATTGTGTAATAAAATTCAATACTTACCAATGGCGAGACCTGCATGCAACGGCTATAACCCCGCTTACACTTTCTATTGCAACATAAAAATGGATGATTTCACTATTGATTTCTATCTTTCACTCTTTTTATTCAAATAAGCCACCCAGGTTACGTTCAGAGCATAGCGAGAAGAACACTCGCTGCATGCTTTCGCTACTCATGCAAAAACTGTAACATGTGAAAGCCACCAGTTACTAATATTACAATGTAAGCTGCGCACGAATACTCTCAACAGCGAAGTGAGGAGGAGGAACATTTCGAGTGATATCCTTTACAGCGTAATCGTTACCTGGACACCACTGCTGCTTACAAGCGTAAATTAGATGGCTGTTTTGTTGTTGTTGCTACGTCTGTAGAACAATTTATTGCTTACATGCCTGAATTAGACAAAACAAATTGCTGCTCAAATGCTTCGATTAAAAAAAAAATTACACATTTTTTTTTTTTTTTTTTGACTTAGCAAAACAGTTCCTGGGTTAACTTTATGGGCCTGGACCACAGACACAACTAAAAAAGACTAGATAAATGCAATTAGTAACACCCAGCTTGACCTTGAGTCAAGGTTAGAACATCACATCAGAAAAAGACACTTCACAATGTCTAATTAACAGTCTCGGAAACAGTCGTTATCACTGTAGCCTGACTAAAAAACCCGAGCAACACTCAAGGTTTGAGGTTTTGAGGTTTGAACAACGGATCAACATCATGGCACACGGTTTGTAACCTATTAGTACTCCGTTCTTCCTCTAACTCAAGTCTGAGCCGGAAGAAGCTCAACACAGTGCACAGGCTCTGCAGCACCAGCGAGGATCCTGAAATACTTTTGGTAGCTTTTTGACTACAAATTTTTGCCTGAGCAGCGCCGTTGAGGCTACTTTTTTCGATTTTCAACTGCCAAAAAATTTCTTTACGTGCCAACAATGCACACGGATGTCCGATCTTCCTACCCAGAGACCAGGTGGAATTGCTAGAAGTCCATGTCCAGTGAAATAATCCCAGCCCTTACCGGGGATTGAATCCGGAACTCTAGCACTCGTGGCGGACACCATGCCTCGAGCCCACGCAGTCCCCTCAACACTCAAGGGAAAGGTGAGACGGAAATAAAATTTGACCGTTACTGGTACCCTCAGAACTGGAACTCTTCGCTTGCTGCTGAAGTTTGGGAGGGGACGCTTATGTGAGTGTCCAGAGTGCTATGATTTCGATTCTTCGTTTAACATTCCAAATTAAAAAAACTAATGAAAAACTCGAGCAACAAAACATTAGAACAAACACCATCTTCTGATCGATCATCAGCAAAGATGGTATAGATTATCGATTGCAGCGGCACCCTAATTCTTTTTATCGCTAAAGAAGGTATAAGTAATGAACGGCAGCGAATCTCCAACATTATAAGTATATTTGCAAGATGATACAGATGATAGGTGTTTGACATCCTAAAAGATCGAAACATCAAGGAAGGCTGGTTAGTAAACTAAACAGTATCTTGTCTCGAAAACTGAAATATTTTGGCCCTATCAAGCGCTACAGCGGATTGGAAAAAAAATAATAATAGCAGAAATCATGGAATTAGGAAAGATTGGCAGGGGTCGACCAGTACTAATATGGACTCATAATATAAGTGACCCGTTAGGTAGCAAGTGCAAGAGAGCTGGCGAGAGACCAAGTTTCTTTCAGGTAAACCTTGATGAAAGCCACGTTCTGCAAAGGACCAGCTACGTGATAATGACTGATTAGAAACTGTCGTGAATGACCAGCAATGTGCATTGTTATAACGGTATAGTTTGTCTACTGCCAGATGTCGACGGACATGATAACCAGCCACAACAACACTGAATTCAAGAATGCTGTTCAAAACAGATACTAACAGGGTACAATGGGTTTCCAAAATCGTGCTCTCAAACTTTAACAAATACTTCGAAAACGCCTGTACTGATGAAAACGAATTTTCGCATGTGATCTCAGATTTCCTATGTCCTTATGATATTAGCAGATGAAGCTTTTTTTTTCTTGAAGCAGTGCATAAAAAAAAAAAAAAATGTTTGACCTCTAATTTGTGTATCTCTAAATAAAGTTTGGTTAGTTTTACCCTAGTCATCCCAAACAAAGCAGGTCAAAGTTCATTGACAAGTTTGTTGGCCTGGTCTACTTTCCTGCAAATTTCGATTGTGCCGCTCTGTTGTTTTCCTTCTGGGTTCTTTTTGCATTTACGTTTTTCTTCCAAGAAAGAGAATTCCTGTGGCATAGGTTTCATCACTCTCTAAAGGGTTTTGTGTTAGCCCCAGTTTGTCCATATTTTTTGGAGTGTTAAGAGCGCTGGCGTGCTGAAATATATAACACTATATCAACGGCATAGCGGAAAACCACCGTATCCTTCTGGCAAGGTCGACCAATCAGAAGTGAGCTAGGCTAAAGGTCGACCAACCAGACGTGAGCTAGTTTGTAACAGTATGTAAAAGGAGAGATTAACGTTAGTTTTACCGAAAGTAGAATATACTGTAACTGGTACACGCGTTGAAGATTGTTTCGAACTAAATTCACAAGTGCAGCGAAAAGGAACATTCTGTTCATCTAACTCAGGGAAGGCTCATGCTGGAGATGACCACGTGAGAGTGAAATGACTAAGAAACGCGTGCAATTTGATCGTTACCCGGTTAACTGTAAACCTCCTGCTTGTTTGCTTCAATCGATGTCTGTTCTTAAGTATAAGGTTAGTTGCTTATCCTTTACAGGACGTTGCAAAACCAAACCCAACAGCCCCTGGCTGTTGTGTGGTTTTTTAAGGCAAATTTACGTCCAGTAGTTTGCCATTGCTTTCTGGACGGTTGGATTTCTCGATACAAGTGTCGAAACCAACGCAAGGCGCATGGCCTGCAGCTGGGATCAAACCAGGCAACCCGGCATTACGAAGCGTTCGCATCGACTTAGACACAGAGCCGACTGTTCTTTAGTATACCGGGAAAAAAGGCAAAATTAAAACTAGACGTTTATTTATTTTAAAAAAAAATCTTTATACGGACATGATTATTAACAGGTTACATGACACATTTCAACATTGTTAATTGTTTACGTTTTAGATTATCTTCATTGGACATGACCATAAGTGTTCCGACCTCCTCCTGCGTGTCTCTAAACTGTTTAGGGTAGCAAACTCCAATTTTGTTTTCGTTGATGTAACGATGGTTGGCTCCCACGTGGTTTTCCTATCTCGCCGCTCCAATTGGTGTACCTATGGTATGCAATATATTCAGTGAAAAATAAGTGTCCACTATGCTGAAAGCCGCACAGCCTTTAGTCTCTCGTATGGCATCGATATGTCTCTCCTGTCTATAGAGGGCAAATTCCTGGTAGTCGCACTGCCAGTCAGAGTGTCTGCTCTCTCATTGTCTTTCCCAGTAGCATAGCCTGGAACCAAACAAATGAAGCTGATTGTGCGAAACGCTGAGTGCTATATCAGCTGGAGCCATTGTTCCCGTATGCACCCGTCTTGATCTTCTGTAGCATGCTCACTGAGTCGCTGAACAAATTTGCACTGATGAATTCCTGAGTTTTCTGCCATTCTAGAGCCTTTGTCTCAGCCATGACCTCAACTGTCATGCTGCTTACACGGAACAGTTACGGAGTTAGAGATTTTTAAAGTTGAACACGACATATGGAGCAAATAATAAAAATTAAAAAATACGTTTTTCCCTACCATTGGCGTATGAGGTAATATCAACTTCCCATGAGCTGGAAGTCAAAGTAAACTATAAATAAATGTCCTCGATTCCGATTCCAGTCCAAGCCTTTCGCAAGAATCTGGCCACATCTCTACCGCAGCTTCACAAAGACATGCAGGCAAACATCTGGCATATTGCTACCGCAGCTTCACAGAGACATGCAGGCAAGCAAGCATCTGGCCACATCGCTACCGCAGCTTCACAGAGACATGCAGGCAAACATCTGGCCACATCGCTACCGCAGCTTCACAGAGACATGCAGGCAAGCAAGCATCTGACCACATCGCTACCACAGCTTCACAGAGACATGCAGACAAACATCTGGCCACATCGCTACCGCAGCTTCACAGAGACATGCAGTCAAACATCTGGCATATTGCTACCGCAGCTTCACAGAGACATGCAGGCAAGCAAGCATCTGGCCACATCGCTACCGCAGCTTCACATAGACATGCAGGCAAGCAAGCATCTGACCACATCGCTACCACAGCTTCACAGAGACATGCAGACAAACATCTGGCCACATCGCTACCGCAGCTTCACAGAGACATGCAGGCAAACATCTGGCCACATCGCTACCGCAGCTTCACAGAGACATGCAGGCAAGCATCTGGCATATTGCTACCGCAGCTTCACAGAGACATGCAGGCAAGCATCTGGCCACATCGCTACCGCAGCTTCACAGAGACATGCAGGCAAGCATCTGGCCACATCGCTACCGCAGCTTCACAGAGACATGCAGGCAAGCATCTGGCCACATCGCTACCGCAGCTTCACAGAGACATGCAGGCAAGCAAGCATCTGGCCACATCGCTACCGCAGCTTCACAGAGACATGCAGGCAAGCAAGCATCTGACCACATCGCTACCACAGCTTCACAGAGACATGCAGACAAACATCTGGCCAGATCGCTACCGCAGCTTCACAGAGACATGCAGGCAAGCAAGCATCTGGCCACATCGCTATTGCAGCTTCACAGAAACATGCAGGAGGAAAAAAATCAAGAAGATGCACGACCATAAATCAAGCTAATGAATGTTTCGAAAATAAAGCAGTTAAATTGAAGAAAAACACAGTGATATCAAAATATGAAGGTCCTGACGACATACTGTCAGAAAACTGTTTTAGTTTCTCTGGACTGAGCCAAACCTTTCCAGACAATATAATTTCCTTTGACTCCAGTGAATTTCCGTTAACGTCAAACAGTTTGACTAATTCTGATCTTCTAATGTTTCCATAATTTTTTTCTTCCATAACACAAAATGTAATTCTAACATTTCAAGAGAGAACAAAGCGATGTGATAATACTGACGAGAAAAGTGAGACACACAAAATGAAAAAGGGCTGAGAATAGAGAAAACACAATACAGATGGAATAGATTAAAAGACCCAGAAAAATAAAGAAAACTAGCCAGAAATAGTTAATTTATAATTAAACAAGAGAAAGAACACGAAAAGGGACAGAAGCGTAATGTGGAAAAAGAAAACAGGTTTAATCAGAATTATAGAGAAAATAAATCAAATGAAAAACAAGAGAGAGAAGCTGAAAACTAGAAAAAAAAAAAAAAAATGCAAGCCAGCAAATGAATTAATTTCCCGGTTCGAATCGCTAACTCTCGAAACCTAATTACAAAACTGACGCTATTTTCGGAATGAAATTGTGATTTTATTGTATTAATTTCCCTGCCTGTGTGCACTGTCCAAACGGTTTCTGCAACACGTTAAAGCATATACTTAAATCGATTGATGAGGTATAAATCAATTGATCGGTAACGACAATGTTATCACCGAGGCTTTTTCTTCTACTTCGCATTCACCGGTTGTGGACTCCGGTGGAAAGTTCTAGTTCTCCCTCAGCTTCTGAACGTAAGTCTCGTTCCATAACTCTGAGGTTTGCACGCACATCCGTTCTACAGATCTGGCTTGCCTAAATGCAGACTGTTGGTTCCTCGCCTCTCAGGCAGATGCACTCCGAATAAGAAAGAACACCCCCCCCCCCAAAGCCTTTTTTTACGTTGGGGGGGGGGCAGTGTGTCTATTATTTGTGCATCCAAAAGAAGGCCCCGGAACCCACTCAAAGATTACAATATTAAGATGTTAACGCATTTTTTGGGTTTCCAAAGGCATGATCTACTTTTCTCTAGTCACGAACATATAGGCCAACGAACATAATATAAGAACACATTTTGACTTCATCCGCAAATAATGCATGGGTGCGCGAACGCACAAACATCGCATTGAAGCTATGTTTTCTGCTAGCGAACACCATCAGTTGTACTCAAGTTTGCCCGATTTGAACGTTGCATTAAATTATCCCTCATTTTTGGCTCCCAATAAAGTGAAAAGTGTTAGCGACAACGGCTTAAAGAAGCTTAAGTGTATTACAATAATAAGAAGAACTTCACAGGGTAGCGTGTACAGCAGGAGTCTACCGATCATCAGTAGAAAGATCCGTCGTCTACAATTGTTTCGGACCATCACCTTCTATACACTTTCGGAGAGCGGCCGACCTGGGTCATGAAGCCTGGCCTCGATCTTCTCCTGCTGCACTTATTCGGAATCTTGGACATGGACAAGACGAAATCGTGACTTTGCAAAGGATACTGTGAGATTAGAAGTTTATATATATATATATATATATATATATATATATATATATATATATATATATATATATATATATATATCCATAAACCATGAGTTGTAAACCATTTGGCTCGGTACTATGGATATCGCAACCCTTCGGCCTTGATTCCATTGTTAATATAATAAATCTGGGAGAAATGTGGCTTTTCTGCCTAACCCCGGGAGTGAACCCGGACCACAAGGAGTTCGTCACCCGGCCGCCGCGAAAGTCAGGTTTAACCAACTTCGCTAGAGAGCCGGGCAGGTTCAATGGACACATGTTAGACTTAGGCATTTGGCAGAGAGAGACTCTGGCAGACACATTTCGAGCACTTTGTATAAAGAGATAAGAAGCTCCTTTTATCCAAGGACTCGGCACAGTCTACCGAATCCCATCACTCACGACGTTCCGTTTCGTCTGAAGGCAGATCGAAGCCCTTTCAGCTGCTTCGCCCAGTTGTCTACTAGAAAGAAAATTAAGAAAAGGAAGCCATAACTGAAAATGAGAATGGCATGCATGTTTCTAATCTCGCCAAGCATGACTGAAGCTACGTGGTATCCTATCTCAAAGAACAAAGATGTGCTACATATGGCTGATGTGGCTAAAGGAGTGACTATGATAACAAAGCAAATGTTTGATGTGTTAGAAAAAGTAGAAAAATTATCGTCTGTTTGGATTTATGAAATGCAGCTAGCTGGAGATAGTGTTAGCGAATACAAATTATGCTAGCGTTTACGAATTTAAAGCTACAAGAGGCCAGGTCAGGACGTTTGATCGACGAATAGGAATTTTTATTATCTATAAAGGTTACATGCCTCATTAAGTTTCAAATTACGATAAACAAACCCCCTTTTTTGTTGTTGAAGGAAACAAAAGAATTTACATAGCGTAAAGTTATACTATATATTTTATATAGTATATTTGTGCCACACACACATATCCATTAAAAGAGATTCCCAAAACAATATGTTTCTGGACCTAGTGAACGGAATATTTCGATTTTCAATAATTTCATTTGAACAATTGTTTCAGTTCGCGAAAATCTTGGTTTACGAACATAGTGTTTCGCGTTTCTCAGATAAGTGTGTGTGTGTATATATGTGTGTATATGTGTGTGTGTGTGTTTGTGTGTGCGTGCGCGCCCGCAAAAGAGATCATTAAAATAAATAAATCACATAAAAGAACAAACGAAACAAACTGTATCGTTTAAAAAAAAAAAAAATACACCTTATCTGTAGAACGGAGTCTATGTTGCAAGTCTTCTATTTAGAAGATTAACAGTTATTCTGTATGACATTTAAAATATGTGGGGCCCGTGATAGATCTCTGGAAATAAGAGGCAGGGTCTGCGGGCGTTAGCTAATCACCGATCAAGGAGAATGAGGTGACCTTGTTTCAATCTTCACAGACAAACTTCTCTAATGAAAACACAAGTAACGAAAACGTTCAAAGCAGTTAACATAATTACTTGACAGACAATGTCCAACCTGGCACGAAGCAATCTCCAGACCACCTTTAAGATCACGATCTCTTGCCTGACAATTATGGGTAATGGGATTTCATTACTATTTTTATTTTCCCCAGCGTCTCATTTATGTGTCAATTTTGTGCCAATAATAAGGTCCGGATGAGCTGCGCCTGGTCGAGCACTCAAAATGCTGGGATCTCACTCGGATTCAATAATCTGTTAGATGATGGGGATTTATTTATCCATAAGGCATAAAAGTAAGTTCCTAACCTGCACAATTCGTGGCTACCGTACTAACAATGCGGTACCAAATCTTTCGGAGTTGAGTTAAGAATTGACATCACAGCACTCGGGGCATTCCCATATGCGCTTCGTCCCCATTTTTAGCAGCCAGCGCAGAGTTTCAATACTAATGGCAGCCGTCGTAGTCCGGTTAAATGTCCATATTGCCTTTTCTTTGAGTGCAGTGAGCCCGCCAGAGATTACGTCTTAAATTTTGATACATTTAATTTTTTACCGTCGTCAGTGAATATATTTTAACTTCAGTCTTTAAATACATTGGTAGACCGTTTGTTTTATAACCACATGTGGTCAGCATCATGCCGGTTGCCTTTACTTCCCAGGAATTCACCTGGTACCCATTCAAGGCTGGGTAGACCTAGGACTTAAGGTCATTATTAAAAAAAAAAAAAAAACCCGGCTCCGTCAGGATGCGAACCTACGACCTTTCGATCCGCAGGCGGGCGTCTAAACGCCAATGCCAGGGCGACTCCCATTATATGTATATATGTGTGTGTGTGTGGGTGAGTGTGTGTGACTGAGTGTGTGTGTGTCTATGTATATCTATAGTTACAGGATGCAGATGCTCGTTACACACTGTAATGTACGTGGGTGTCACAGAAAATGTTTGCACATCAACCGTGACCATGTAAAGTAATTTGTGTAATCATGTGGAAATGTTCAGCCCTAACTGGGAATCAATGATCAGTGTCAGTAGGCATCAGGAGAATCTAAACTGAATGCTAAAGGACCGATTCAAGGTTGAACATGGCACACTTATTTGGGAGCTTGTTTATCACATGTGGCAGACGTATGACGGGATTTGTTATCGTTACAGTTTGGAGCGTTGTTTCTCACAAGCGTCTGGCACATGAAGGGATCTGCCTGTCGATGACTGGAGTGTGTTTATTAACGCTAGCGGAAGCCGTTGTGGTGCAGACTGAGGAGTTCTGCAAAGGATCTGCTGATGATGACAAAGAATGTGATTGACGTCAGCCAGTATTAAAAAAAAAAAAAAAAAAAAAATCAATAAACACGTCTTGAGTTGCCAGATATTTTAATAATTAATTAGACACATAAAGCTGCCCGATCTCATACATACACACCCTGTCCGCCACGGATTGATCTTCATGTTAGAAAGGTAAAGCATTAATTATTTAGGCACCAGGAGGTTTTGCAGAAGCAGTTTATATTTTCATTCAAGAATTCCATGAAATCAGACTACTTAAGGCTGAGTCGGCCCGTAAGGCAAGGCTATGTCTGTGCGGACTGCTGCTTTTATCTACAATGAATTGCAGCTTTAATGGCTGCTGTTGGCTTTTATGGCGGCAGCATTAGACAGTTTGTGCTTGTGCGAGCTCCTGACGTATGTCGGGCTGATCATTTTCACTCTAATAATGATGATGTAAGCAATGGTGAAAAAAAGTGAAGAACACTTTCCACGCCATTAGACGTATGGGGCACATAGGGCTAGACCTACTTTTTATACAGCAATAGCACTGGCTGCGTAATGTGGTCAACATCACACCGGCCGCGTTTACTTCCCAGAAATTTACCTGCCACCTATTTATAAGCTGAGTGGACCTGGGAGCCAAGGTCACTTTGGAAAATAGTCCGCCTCCTTTGAGAATTCGAATCGACGCTTTTCGACTCCGTCTAGCCGCAAAACTATAGCTTCTCCAATGATGATGAGGTGTTGATGATAAGGGTGATGATGACGACGATAATGATGAGAATGATGATGATAATTAGGATGAGTATAATGATGACGATAATGATAAACGCGAGCAGTTAAAGCTATAGAGAGTGTACTTACATTGTTAACTCCATTGACAATAGCCCTCATGGTGAGGTTTCGGGGTCCGTCGACTGTCTTCCCGTCGTCTGTTGGACCCCAGGAGGCGCTGTAAATATCGATAACGTTAGGCATGTGACCCATAGCGTTGGCCTCGATGAGATCTGTCATGAAGGGCTGGTCCAGCATACGAAGACCTGAGAAAGGTGTCAACTGATAATGAGATTAGCAATAAGGAAAGTCTATAAGTAGGTGCACATTCTTATTCTCTGTACAGCTCCTACCGTAGGGCCAGGCTCTGATGTTGACTTGATAAAACCCAAAACTATATATAGCCCTGAGTTCTCTACCGTTTGAAATTACACAAAACTCTAAAATGTATATGTCTTTTAAATAAATGGATAATGGAAACGTATTATCATTAAAAGTAATAACAAAGAATGTATTCGCAAAATCACATAAATTATTTTATACAATCATCTAAAAGGCTTTATGTTTCGACCTAAGACATTCTCTGTAGTTGTGAAAATGATGCTTTAAACACTTGAATAGTAGTAATATTGCTTCAGCATGTCGGAACACTGACTGAGTCTTATCTTGAAAGATGGTCTGATACGCATCTCTGTGTTGAAAATTGTCAGATTATCCAGTATCTTCTCTCTCGGTCCCCTTCTGCCTCCCCTACATCCATCCTGTAACTTTACTATTGTCATGATGTACTCCACTTTTCCAGTTCTCATTTTGTGACCAAAAAATGTAGATAATCTCCCCCTGGTGCGGTAATCATTTATCTTTATGATAATGAACATCCAATGAGAGGATTTCAGGAAAGAGCATTGTTTTCTATTGTTATAGAAAAAATAAGATGGCAATATATTAGACATGTCACGAGGAGAAGTGGACAGAACAGCACGTGACATACGTTGTAGGTAGGTAAGTTTTACCCTACCTGGACATCACACAAGCGATAAACATTCTGTGACACAAAGTGCCACCATGCGGATGAGGATTCCCCGTGGACAAATCCAGGAAACCCCGTTCAGCCGTTAGGCCATATTTCAGGCCCAGCTTTACTTAGGGCACCCGGCAAAAGCCAGTGTGGGGTTTCAAAATAGCTAAAAATTGCATCCCACAAGGGGATGACGATTCTCACTAATGCGGAAATTGGGTATAGACAGACATTGAAATGGGAAAGAAATAGGCTAGTGAAACGAGAACGTCCAAAAAACATCCTAAGGTGGTCGAGTAGATTCAACCAATGATATGGAAATTATTTCAAAGGATAAAACTTAATGGGGGAGTAGGCTGTGAGCCCAAGGAATGTATAACGGTAAAACAGAATGAGGATTCCATTAGGGGAATCCGTGGTCGAGCGGTAAAACCATTTCACTTACTCTCTGAAGGTTGCAGGTTTGGTATATGACTCCATCTTAGGTTTATGAGTGTCTGTGTTTGTTTATTTAAACGCTAGCGGATCGAGGCATGCCTAATTCTCTTATTATTTTTTTTTTAAATTTGTTCATAATGTTCTTCTTTAACAAGGTTGAGAAATGACATAACTGACCTCGGTCTACTATCAGTAACACTTACTGGACCTAGTGTTCAATTGCAACAAATAAAATATTGATGAACAATTTCTAAAGCGTACCAAAACATCGGGCTAGGTACCATAAGTACATTTTGGTTCGGCAAAAGGTCAGAAAGTATCAAATATGTACGAAAGGACCAACTTCAGAAGCCTTGTCTCAACCCCAAATATTCCGAAAAACAGCAGTGGATTTACTGTGGCGAATCTCCATTGTGGAGAGAGTCTGTCTACAATGGTCAACCTTGGACAAATATTCGACTAATCCATTGAAATATCTGACTACTTTTTCAGCGACGACAACAAAACACGAACACCAACCTGCAACTTTGGATCCAAAAGCCACTCCGACACCACAGATTCCATTGTCCCTAGCTGCTGAAACTTCCCCGGCACATCTGGTACCATGGCTAAAATAAAAAAAATAAAAAATAATCAAAAATGGTGTATATGTCTCACCTTTTCATTCCTTGAGTGTTTGGCGTCGGCCAGATCCCCTGGTCACTCCCCACAGCAACATTCTACTCAGACCGTTATGGTCAATTTGTGGCTTCACGCTGTTCAGTCAGCTCCCAAAGGGTTCTGACATCATCTACCTTGATAAGAAGAAACTCCACAGGGGAGCATGTACAGCAGGAGTCTACCAATCATCAGTAGAAGTAACCTCTCGTCGACAAATGTTTCGGCACACGAGCTCCTAGACATTTTCAGAGAGTGGGTCCACCTCATTTATTGAGGCTCAGGGTTGGTTTCTCCTGATGCACGTATTACCGGATGTGTTCGGACAGGGGCAAGACGAATTGGTGACTTTTGCAAAAGGTACTGTGAGATAAGAAGTCGTTGCGGTAGCATAATTAAAGCAGCCTGCATACCTGGACTACCAATTGGCAAGCTTACGTTTGGTTTACCGAACACATGTTGGACTTTGTTGGCAGGTGGCAGAGGGACACTGGCAGGAAATTCAGACACGATGGACTTTAAGGGATAAGATATTCTTTTCCACTAGACACCCGCACCAACTCACCGAGGCCCATCCCCCCCCCCCCCCCACGACGTTCCGTTGTGTCCAGAGCCAGCTCGAGGCCCTCTCAGCAACCTCGCCCAATTGTTTAAGTGTCCGTTTGCGTTCATTACCTCATAAGCCTAGTTGTTTAATCACATTGTAAAGTGAAAAGGAAACGAGACCTCTTGCGCCTATCTCGACGGCCAAGACTCTTACTGTGTACGCTTTATCTCTCCTCAGACCAGCAGCTAAGTCACTGTATTTCTCGAGCTTATACATATGGCTTTCGTCAATTCGCGACTCATACGGCACGGTCAGCTCAATCAGGATGAGCTGACGTTTCTCCGTAGAGTGGAGAACTATGTGTGGTCGCAGGCCAGTCTTCCAGATTAATTCAGGGTACTTTTCATGGCCAGGCAGGTCAACCGCCAGTAACCAGTCCCTCGCACAGTCTTGCATCGATGGAACGTATGCGACTTTGTTGAATCTACCTTTATGAATCTGCCCAGCCTTAAGGAAGCGTATGGTGATGACGGTAGGACTGGCCCTTGCATTGGCCCCCGTCCTAGCTTGGTCCTCAACGGCTGCTAAATCTTTCAGCACGTTGTTGTGGCGCTAAGTAAATCTGCCTTGACCTAGGGCTTTTCTGCTCGCGGACAGAATGTGCTCGAGCGTTTGCTTAGCTCTGCATAGCGGGCATGCCGGGTCGTTAGCCGCACTTCACTTTACCAGGTTGACACCGGACAGTAATACATAGTAGGCAGAACGAACGATGAATGAAGCTCAGTCGCAGCGGGGTCATTCGCCAGATCTCACCGCTTGTCAATCAATCCACCACTAAGTGGTGCAGAACCGGCCAATCTACCTGCCTTTTTATTTTCCTGCTCATTTTTTTTATAAACCAACCAACACCCAACGTGTAATGTTGTGATCTACACACTGCCACAGTTACTTTCCGAGACATTTCCTGTAACCTGTTCCATTTTGTCTGGAATTATCCTAAAACACTAATCGCAAAAGCTTAAACATTTCTTTCTCGTACTATCTGCACTGGTTTTTTTTTTTTTAAATCACATTGTTCACATTTTCGAGGCATCTTTTCGAAACAGTACTTTTTGAGAAAAGATTAAGTCGGTGATCCATACTCACTGATTGACTTTTTACCCCACCAGGACTTTAGACTGACTGATAAACACCCGGTGACACAAAGTGCCACCACTTGGACGAGGATCACCCGGGGATAGGTCCCAGAGACCCCGTTCAAATATCAGGTTACATTAGGGACCCCAGCAACAACCAAGGTGGAGCATTAAAATAACGAAACATTCGTCCCACATGGGGACGGAGAGTGTTGATACATACTCCCATATGTTTGCTTTATATTGCATCATACTTCAAGAAGTAAAGCATGTTGTATCCTTAACTGGATGAATTACTCTTGCTCCCCCTCCCTTTATGTGTATGTGGGTGTGTGTGTGTGCTCGCGCGCGTGTGTGGGTGAGTTTTTAGTGCTGTTCACGTTTCCAGGACCAGGATTGAAGGAGCTTCCCTTGCCATTCATACCTCCTTAGACCGCTGGACCTCCCCTATGTTGCAGGAGAGTCATGTTTTCCTTTTTTTTTTTTTTTTAAATATCCAGAAACCATGAGTTGTTAACTATTTGGCTCAGTACTATGGACATCGCAACCCGTCGGCCTTGATTCCATCATGGTAGATACCGTAAATCTGGGAGATATGTGGATTTTTCTGCCTACTTTCGAGCGTAAACCCGGACAACAAGGAGTTCATCACCCGGTTGCCGTGCAGTCAGGTTTATTCAATTGAGCTAGCCAGCAGGGCATTTGTGAACGGTGTAACCTTTGCATCTTTTCTCGTCCTCTCACCGCTCGCTTGCATGGTTATTTTCACGTTCTACTACCTTTGCGACCTTTCAGGAGTATAGAAACAGTTATATATTTATCGTCCTACGCTCCATGTAAATGCTTTCTTTCTCTCAGGGAGAAGCCACCGACGAACGTAGAAATACAAAAACACCCCAGTTTCAGTAGCCAAGAATCGTCGCGCCCCTGGCGCTTCCTCCGGCAGAACTTCTTACTTGTACACAGGCGCCTGCGGCTCCTGAAATAGACTCATATCAACACAACCTCCCACAAATATTACATACGCCGAGCGAATGCCAAACCAAGCCATATCATAACACCCCTGCAACGTAGGAGAGGTCTAGCGACCTAAAAAGGCATGAATGGCAAGGGAAGTTACTTCAGTCCTAGGCCTGGAAACGTGGACAGCTCCAAGTTTTCTAGGGAGGTTAACACCTCACCAACCCTTCTTGTTCGAGACAGACAGAAAGAGAGGAAGGGGAGGTTGTCATAATCAACTAACTAGACTGTGAGCTCAGAATAACTTAACTAGGGTTAGTTCAGAATAACCCAGGTTCATAATAGTTCACAATAAACTATCTATAGACTGAGTACGTCCAAACCAATCATAGCATAGGTTTCATTGTAAAAGAGACAGGACATTCATTACCTGTTGAACCAAGAGTCTGTGTATCTTGGGTATGGGTATGGGTCGTTGCTGCTAAAGTCATAGCTGGCGTCGGCATTCTGTGGAGAACAGTTGTACTAGTAAGTTGTACCCCACCAGGCCATCACACAGAGCGATGAACACCCGGTGACACGAAATGCCACCATGGGGATGAGGAAACCCCTTTAACCGTTAGGTTATATTAGGGCCCCTGGCAACAGTTAGGCTGGGGCTTCAAAATAACGAACAATTGTTCTTGTTGTATTTGTCATGTAAAAGTGGGCGACTAATACACAGACACTAACATTGACTTTACGTATCTTAAAGCTATGAAACGAATGTAAAGTAAATATGAAAGATAATTATTTGTGACACACATACGATGGTCGGATAGACAGATACGTAAGTAGTACCAGAACACACAAAACAACAGATAAGAGAAGGTCAGAAGGGAAACAAAGGTTGGGGGGGGGGGGGCTGAAGTGGGAAAAAAAAAAAGGGGGGGGGTGGTAAACCCATTACACATTTTCTAGGATTTCATCGGGAGGGGGCCTTTAAGGCTAAGAGGGTATAATAATAATAATAATAATAATAATAATAATAATGATAATAATAATAATAATTATTATTATTATTATTATTATTATTATTATTATTATTATGAGCAGAATGGCGAAAAAACATAACATTTTACTGGAAATAAAATAAAATGAACAAATAAATACTTAGAAGAAATCATCAATACATGTGGGAGAGGGGGAGGGGCGGTAAGCTACTGTGAACCATTGTCTGGCAATAATGCCTAGGCTCTCAGGCTTCGGGGGCCCTTTGGTGACAGACAGACAGACCGACCGACAGACAGCCGGACAGACAGATATATAAATTCTGTCTGTCTGTCTGTCTGTCTGTCTGTCTGTCTGTCTGTCTGTCTGTCTGTCTGTCTGTCTGTCTGTCTGTCTGTCTGTCTGTCTGTCTGTCTGTCTGTCTGTCTGTCTGTCTGTCTGTCTGTCTGTCTGTCTGTCTGTCTGTCTATCTGTCTGTATATCTATCTGTCTATCTGTCTGTCTATCTGTCTGTCTATCTGTCTGTCTATCTGTCTATCTATCTATCTATCTATCTATCTATCTATCTATCTATCTATCTATCTATCTATCTATCTATCTATCTATCTATCTATCTATCTATCTATCTATCTATCTATCTATCTATCTATCTATCTATCTATCTATCTATCTATCTATCTATCTATCTATCTATCTATCTATCTATCTATCTATCTATCTATCTATCTATCTATCTATCTATCTATCTATCTATCTATCTATCTATCTATCTATCTATCTATCTATCTATCTATCTATCTATCTATCTGTCTGTCTGTCTGTCTGTCTGTCTGTCTGTCTGTCTGTCTGTCTGTCTGTCTGTCTGTCTGTCTGTCTGTCTGTCTGTCTGTCTGTCTGTCTGTCTGTCTGTCTGTCTGTCTGTCTGTCTGTCTGTCTGTCTGTCTGTCTGTCTACCTACCTACCTACCTACCTACCTACCTACCTACCTACCTACCTACCTACCTACCTATCTGTCTGTCGGTTTGTCCGTCCGCCCGTCCGTCTGTCGGTAGGTCTGTCTGTCTGTTTGAGAGGGAGAAGAAGTGCCTGGGGGTTCGTAGCTAAAGCCAATTTAAAATCTTTAATGGTGGACAGCCTAGCATATGATACGACCACGTCTACCTTGAGAATGGAGGTGGAGGAAGTAACTGCAGCTTTCCGGTGGCTAGAGAACAAAATGCATACAAATGTCATAATTGTAACAGACTCTGAAAGCATGCTGAGAAAGGTGAAGACGGGGATGCTTTCAGCAAAGTGGGAAACCTCACTGGTAAGGTCACAGGTAGTCAGCATACTTTAGATTTTTTCTCCAAGCCATGTTGGCGTGGTGGAGAATGAACAGGCAGATAGATTAGTTCGATCTGCACCACTGAGCGGTAAATTGACACACGACAGGGCAGATGTAGTCAGGGCCCTTTGGGAACAAGCAACGGAGACAGAAGTGAAACCAGATTATTATGGTCTGCAGAGAATGAGTGCAACCAGAGAGTCTGGCCGACTCACTACACGCAGAGGAAAGGCAAGACAGACATATAACAAGATTACAACAGTAATTAGTATTGGAACTCTGCGCTGGCTGCTGAAGATGAGGACAGAACACGCACGGGAATGCCCCGAGTGCTGTGATGTCATTTCTTGACTCAACAAAATTCAACTGTCTGTCTGTCTGTCTATATAGATGCACCTCTGTCTGTTTTTGTTTTTTGTTTGTCTGCAAATCCATCTATTCATCCATCCAACCATCCATCCATCTATCCATCTTCCGTCTGTCTGTCGTAGACATACACACACGGGTCTTTTTTCTTGTGTGTCAGGAACACGCACTCAAACACACGTACACACCTTAACACGATGTCCTATCAACTAGCCCCCAAAAGGCAGCTATTTCTGTTTTGACAGTGTTATTTTTAGATAATCATTTTTTTTTTTTTCATCTCGATCACGAGGAAACGACCGTTACTCGACAGCAAACTGACGCAATTTCATCCTTAGATCCCCCGACATCAGACGATAAGCTCGTTCCATTTATCCAACAATCCGGTTGCGTTTCTGTTAGTTGAAAGGAACCTGATCAGATTTGAAATAGCACTTTACAAAAAGTATTTTTATTTTTTCACTTTTCCTTCTTTAGCGAGACTAAAAATTGCACATGAATAGTGGAATTATTCTGTCTTTCGCTTTCAGTTACTAGAAGAAAGCCATCGGTACATTTATCTCTCTGTTCATCATAGATTGCTTGAGTTTGTATTACCAAAGACTTTTTCTGCAAGAAATGAAGCTTGCTATGTGTATGAAAGCAGTAGGTAACATTTTCGAAGTGACCCGTTTTATGCCAGTTGTCCCGTTTGATAAAAATCTAAGATTTCGCACTATAAAAGAACATACACTTTTAGGTACGATTGTAAAAGTTTAAAAAAAAAAAAAAAAACAAAGGTCCCTTTTCCCACTCCTTTAGGCGTATAGGGCATTAAGGACTAGACATATATTTTAAAAGACCAATCGACACAAGATTGGTGATGTGGTCAACATCACGCCGGCCGCCTTCACTTCCCGGTACTGCACTCGTTACCCACTCAAGGCTGTGTCGACCTGGGAGCCAAGGTCATTTTTGAAAAAAGTCTGGCTTCGCCAGGGACCGAACCCAGGACCTTATGATCCGCACACGAGCGTCTAGCCGCTACGCCACGGCGACTCCCGGGTATTCTTGCAGACCTTATTAAATTTCACAGTATCATAGTCCTACATACTTGAATACCTGAAAGTTGTTGATGGCTAACAGGGAAACTATGAAGTCAGAAATTCTATGTTTGTAAAAATATCCACAAGGTATTCACTTTAATTAGGGAAACAAGTTTTACTATAACTTATACACTTTTTAGTCCTATGTATTTCCATTCTTATAATGTATTAATTCATTAATAATGATAATAATAAAGTAATAATAGTAATAATATAAAAAACGATAATAATAAAGTATAGATTTTAAAACTGGGGGAAAGGGGGTGGGGAGGGGGTGGGGAAGGAAGGGGGGGGGGGGGTTGACTTTCGAGGGATGTCCCGTTTTTAGTTGAAATATATTAGTGGAGTATTCCGTTTTTAGATCAAAATATTAGTGAAATGTCCCGTTGTCAGCTCAAGATATTAATGAGATGTCCGTTTTCAGCTCAAGATATTATGGTCACGCTGCATGTGAGGCACAATACTAGACCCTTAATTTTACCGATCAATCAGCGTTTAATGGTTTCTGTTGTCATTATCCATCCTATGGACTGTCTTCACTTTACAGGGCATTTGCTGGTACCAGTTTTGGGTTGGATAGATGAGAAAACAAGGTCAGTTATAAAATCCGATTTAATGTGACCTCTACTGCGATATAAAGATTTGCAAACGTGAATGAATGATACAGGTATTGAGATTGACTTCTTCTTCTTTTGCCTTTCTATCCCCCAATGGAGCATAGGCCCTCAACCAACTCACGCCAAGTCGTTCTATGCTTCGCCATTGCATGGAGCTCTCCCTATGTCCTCCCCATCTTTCTAACTTCATTCTCCAGCTCTCTTCTCCATGTGTTTTTTTTTTTTGTGTTTTTTTTTTTGCCTTCCTTCATTCCTATACCCCTGTGGGTTCCAATGCAAAGACATTCTTGTTATGCTGTTCTCCTGTTTTCTCAGTGAGTGTTGAGATGGACTTGTGGAACGAAATGCCATGGACCGTGTTGTGTGGAGGGGGCACATCAGGAAAGGAATGAGAATTAAGAAAGAAATGATTGCAAAAAGGATGAGCGCTAAGCGTCTGGAAAGAAACAGACTAAACACAAATGTTGACAACGGTCCTGATAGTAGTGGAAGATTTTTCTTAACGCGGGCTGGTCTTGCTAGTCACACTTGCCATCGCCATGGGATGTGAGTCCAATGCCTCCCTACAGCTCAATTTAACACTATCAATTGGAATTGATTATATATTAGTAAAAGATACATAAATGTCTTCATATTTTTTAAAGGGCGGTGGTGATGGCGGTCTAATAATATTTAGTCTTCGTTTGAAATATAATTTCTTCAAACATGTGACCAGAGATCAAATCAATGGTTTAGTTTGGTTGCAAAAAACACATTTTAACTTTCGGAATCTGCGATACAGAAGTTTAATTTTGATAATGTTAGAAAAATATTTATTTATATAATTTTACAAAAGGAGCTAATAAAATTTTTACTTACATAATTATATTTGAGGTCCTCGTGTAGGTAATCAATTCCTGAAACAAAGAACAAACATTATATTAACACACACACACACAAAAAAAAAAACGGAATTCCTAATTTAAAAAAAAAAAAAAAAAAAAATGGGCAGGAAGATACTGTAAGATTCTGCTGTACTTAATCATAGAAAGCATTTACCACAAAGTGACCCTGCCCACAGAAAGAGCAGCTAATCAGTTCAATCATTTTCTTCGTGGGGGTTCCAGATTCCAATTTTTGTGTGGGGGAGGTTGAGAATAGACCCCCCCCCCCCCCCCCCCCCCCACCTTCCTATTAACATGTGATAAAATTAGACTAATTAGAGGTGCTTTCTTCGATGTTGGAGAGCATATGCCTAATTGTGCTAGAAACCAACATTCTGCATGAAGAAAAGCCAGATCTGTAAGACGGATGTGCAGGCAAACTCAAGCCCTGAAACAAGTCTAAAGTCTACAAGTGGATGACAGCTAGAGCTTTTCGCTAGTATGTACAGCTGGTAAATGTGAAGAAAGTCAATCCTATCCGTCTCCACAATGAAGATTATACTGGATCTTTCATTGCTACTTGTCCTAGTTAAACATGCACTGAGACTGCAGTTTGTCCACCTATTGATGTTATCTACCCATTTGTATCGTTGTCTACCTCTTCTTCGCGTGCCTAGAGCTTAGCCCTCCATTATAGTTTTATAAGAGTGTTGTGTCATTTAATGTGCTTTGTTCTTTGTTTCTTTTAACAACTCTATTTCCCAGTCTCTTCTTAAACCCTGAAATTGATTTAATTTTGCCAGTCTAATGTACAACAGGCCAATCGCTTGTGTGCCTACATATATGAGTACACGTTAACAAAGAGAGAAAGCTGGAGGGATGCAGCAGGGATTTAAACGGCGACTAATTGGCATGCCTTATGGACCAAGATTTACGGAACACTGAACCTCTGAGTTCGTTGTGAAGGCAGCAACCGATAATACCTGACTGACAGCAACCGATTGTCCCTGACTGACAGAGGACTGGAATGAACTAAACTAAACAGATAACTGCTGATAGAGAAGTCTAACCTTCTCTGTCGCGAATCTCTACCCCCAATAGGTAAAGAAGGATCGATACAATGAGTACGTTGCCAGTCTATAATCCTTATCTTAATCCCTCACTCGAGATTATCTTTGGCAGAAAAGCAGTCATATGTTTCTGGTTCAAACAGCTGCTAGAGGGGTCAACATAATCAATCCGCCAGTAAATTTGTGGTTCATAGTCGACAGAAACTCGAGTCTATCATCCTTCTCATTGTTCCGCACACCTGATTATCCGTGGCAGAAAATCAACGCAGTGTTTCGGCCTGAGGCCTATAAAACAATACACGTCACCACATAGATTACTGTTTCTATTTTCCAAAGAAGGCTAGCCTGTTAGAATCACAACCTAAATCGAGCTACGCATTTCTTCAGCGAATGATATAAAAAGGGATGCATAAATGCTCACCAAAATATTCACCATATTATCTCACTCAGGATACCTATACATTCAATCTCTTCTCCAGGCTATGCCGGCGTAGTGGGTAATTACCAGTCAGACAGATTGGCTGGATCTGCACCACTGGGTGGTGAACTGATACATGACGAGGCAGATGTGGTCAAGGCCCTTTGGGAACAAGCGACGGAATCAGTAGAGAAAGAAGATTATTATGGCTTGGAGACAATGAGGCACCTGGGTGTAACCAGAAGGTTTGGCCGGCTCACTACACTCAGAGGAAAGGCAAGATGAACATATAACCAGATTGTGACCGGTACCATCAGTACTGATACTCTGCGCTGACTGCTAAAGATGAGGACGGAGCACTCATGGGAATGCCTCGAGTGCTGTAATGTCAGTTTTTGACTCAACACAACTTTACCTATAAACTTGTCGCTACAACCAAAATCACTTACCATCGTCCATTATCCCCGTAGTTATTCCAACTCCAGAGTACCCCATCTCCCACGCTGCTAGAACATTCAGATCCAAACCTTTCACGCCTCCAGACTGACCGGTATTTTG